AGCAATGTTTTTATTAATGTGCACTGTCCCTTATCAAATAAACCAATAATATCAGACTTCTCAATGACAGATAGCCAAAGAAAATATGCTCCAGTCCAGAATAGTGTTGTTTGTTTGAACCTTGAAACCCTCACATGAAGTTGCCACAAACGGTACAATCTGATCTTTGTGGCCACATCTCATGGATGTTTAGCCATGAAATATTAAGCGCCATATTCAGCTAGGTCATGAAGTGACAGTGCACATGTTGTCCCTCCTGCTTTTCATAATGTGAAATGAAAGGATAGGGTGAGCACATCAATACGACTCGTTTGTCCTGTGTGTCCTGCAATGGTTAAATTCTGTGAGGTCACAAAAGGCAAAGATTGATTGGATTTTGACAATGGGTAAACTCATGACCCCAGAGAAATCTACTTAAGATTATGTATTTTACTTTAATACACAATGTAGCTTATAGTCAAATGTAAAATGTTAGGTTTTTGTCGAATTTTCAGATTGTAGCCTACTGATGATAGGAAAGGCCTGCAAGCAATCCAGTTTTTAATCATTCCAAGTTTAGCATCCTGGCAAACCTTCCAGTCCACTCAAACTTATCCTGGCTAAAATACACTAGTACCTGCTCTCTATAACAGATTAAAGTTAAACCTCCCATGCTCTATATCTGTAGAGTAGGGACTGATTTTCGACCTGCAAGCAGCTTTTGGAAAAATATTATGCGATATTAACTTTGATTTTTGTGAATATTTTGAAAAATTTCAGAGCAAATGTCTGCTAGTGGTATCGCATGAAAGCCCTTTTTGACTTGTGATTTAAATACTATCAGAATTAATCGCGGCACAGGGTTGAGAACAATTAGAAGTAATGTATTCTATTCTACAGTTTGTTTCCCGGGAGTTTGGAGGCCTAAAGTGCAGTTTACATTTTTTAATGCAAAGAAACAATTTTGTTTTACCAATGCTACCAATGCTAGCTGAAAGGATGGACGTTTTGTTCTCTTAGTCGGTGCGCCACTTTGGTCCAGTAGGTGAGATATTTCACATCTCAACTATTGGATGCATTGCCATGAAATTGGTCAAAGGCAGTCGAGGTCCTCAAATGATGAATCCAAATGACTTGTGCCAGCAGGAGGTTGACTTCTTTTGATGCAAATATGTCAACAAAAATTGGATAGATTGCATTAAGATCCAATATATGCAATAATATAACATTTCACACAAAAAAAATGGAGAAACAGTTAAATGACATAACCAAGGTAACATTTTAGATCTCTTTAACATGATCTGGGCTGCACCATGTGTTTATGTGGACCACCAGTAAAAGTAAGGTCTCACTGTCACACTGTGGGCTCGTATATAATCAGCCCCAGCACTTAGTGATCAGTCCTGCCTGTGGATTATCAATTCATTAATTTCTTCAGAGCTACTGCTGCTCAAATGAATATTCCCATCCACCCCTGATTTTCAGCTAAAATGGTCTCACCCACTTTATCTTTGAACAATCTTGCTTTTGTGTTTTAACTCCGTGGCAGTGCATTTGTCTTTTGGAATACATTTACTCAGCTGTTTTAAGTAGCCTCTTTGATTCACTATTTAGTATCTGAGCATCCCATTGGTGCCTGTGCCCATTTTGTTTTGCTGACCGCATTTTCCTAAGGGGCAGGTGGTCTGTCCAAGCCTCTTTGTACAGACTTGTGCTGGTGGTGGGGGGGGGGGGGGTTGCTAATATGAGGCTTTCAACATCTAATCCAGAGCAAGTCTCTTAGAAAAAGCTTATCTTGGGACTCTCCAATTTCACTGCTTTCCTCGTCTGCAGGACCAAACTGCTCTTGGCGTTAGTTATGAACAAATATGACGTGTTTAATGGAGCTAATTCAATACCTTGTTTCAGTCAATTGTTCTCCCCTCTGCACCGGAAAAACTTGCTTGGTTATCATCACCCTATCTACCCCCCACTGCCCCTGCCCCATTGCTGACAAATCCATACAACTATGTGGGACACAAAGGCTCGGATTTAGCTGCCAGGCCAAAGCGAGGGTGGACCGGGTGGGGGGCAGGGCCAGCATGGAAATTTCTGTTGTTTTTGTCACAGCACAGATTTCAGCCAAATCAAAACAACTGGCACCATCACCTTCCTCCCCGCCACAACCCACATGACCTGCGGCCAGTCATCACTTTTAGGCTGGAAATGCAGCCAGATCAGGAGAGGTCTGTGCGGCGGGATGGAGGAGAGGCTGCGTGTGCACTGGGGGGCCATTGTTGAAAAAGAGCTGACGAATGGGATCTCATTTGATAAGCAACAATATTGAGAGATCCAATTTGAAGAACAAGGGTTACAGGCGCAAAGTGCACTTAATAATTATGTCTACCGATCTGCATGTGCTCATACAGCTAAACATAACATTTTAAACAAATGGTGCAGCTATTGTGACAGCTTTTGCCTGCTGTACAGTCAGTATTCAGACTACCTTCTTTGATTTACTGTGACTAATATTTCTTTGAAAGGCCAGGTGGACGCACAAAGTCAACAGACATGAAATTAATCCCAACTTTGACTTATGCAGCCTTTTCTGTTATTCAATTCAGGCCACATGTAAAAGTAAAAGTTCAAACTTCTTATAAATTCTAGATTCAATCTTTCATAATACATATTGCATCTTGATTATTGATATTTATTTCAGAGTGAGAGAATACATAAAAACAAACAGTGAAATGTTCCTTTCAAAATATCCTGTAACCGGAGGTGACATTATTGAATATTTTGTCCGACCAACAGTCCAACCGAGCAGTTACATCCTGCATTTATGCCTTTTAGATTGGGCCAAGCTTCGAACTGCAATCAGACCCTTCTTGCCCTCTAAAATCCTACTTCTTTCAAACACCAAACCTCAAGTTTGTTCTGCAGGTTTCCTGTTAAACGTTTCAAGGCCAAAGTCACAGACCGAGTAAAATACTCATCATGACGAGTATTGTGAAATCGGTGGAATGACCCTTAATTTTCCAGATTGACAGTTGGTTCGACAACAAAAACGTTGTCTCAAAGCCCGGTACTATCATCTCAACCATCTACACTGGCTGATGATGTAGCCTACTTATGTGCCACCAGTTTGCTCTTGTGGAAAAACTTGGGACTGGTTGGCGAGAATGCCCAGTGGCGATAAATGTAGTGAGGTAATCAAACTCAATCCCTGTGAGTTGTCTTCTGGGCTTCTGAGTGTGACAGCATTTCACTTGCAGGTCCCGTGACAGGGAATTATAATTGACATAACACAGAGGCTGAGCCTTCAAGTTTAAAGGTATAGTTTGACATTTTAGGAAATGTGCTTATTTGCTTTCTTGCAAAGAGACAAAAAAAGCGATGCCACCCTCATGTGTCCGGTAAAAAAAAAAAAAAGTTAATGATGGTAATAACAGAGGTGTTGACTGTGTATTATTTTATTACATATCAGAGGACATTCAATGTTTGTTTTTATGTTTGTTTTTCAAAAGTAATACGAAAACAGCTAATCAAGCTTTGGACTGTGGACCAACACGAACCGCAACGGATAGTCATCACAAAACATCTGACTATTGATAATCTGAGATAACTCGAGTCAATGCTCTCGGCCTCTGTGTTTCCTGTTGGGTAACAAGAGGTAGCTACAGCTGGGAGGGGATGAGAGCAGAGGAGAGAGTGCAATCAATGAGGTCAGTGAATCATGATTTATTATACAGCAGCAGGCCATTAGTGTCGCACATACTTTGTCACACTGTGTAGAGATTGCGTGTCTGCGTCTATCAAACAGTGCGTGGCCTGTCGACTAATGCAAAGTGGTTGGGGGGGGGGGGCTTTCTGTGACACGAGGGGGAAACATGGCGACCCAGGGGGCTGTAGGCATGAAGGTTATGTCAGATGAGGGCTGGATATTGGCTGACATATTCAAAATTAGGCAAACTGGTATATGAAGTATGTGTTACCTTGTACAATCTCACATTTGGTAATGGAACAAAAATGTTTTGAAATAATAAATCAAGATATTGAAGGGAATGTTCAACAATTTGGGAATTGCCCAGAGGTAGATGAGAAGATCGATCTTCTATCTGTTTGCTCAATATGAAGCTGAAGCCAGCCGTCGGTTAGCTTAGCTTAGCCTAGCCTGGCTTGGTCAAATGGTAACAAAATCCACCTACCACCTCTAAAGTTACCACATTTACATATTGCATCTTGTTTGTTTATTCTGCAGGAATACAACTGTGGTAGACTCCAGGAAGTCACTGCACCCAACCAAGAACTAGTCCCTCACACAAACACCGAAACCCAGAAAATGTCCTTTTAACAGCAACGAGTTACAATAGAGAAACTTAAGAAGCGCTGGAAGAGAGATGTTGTTATACTCCAGACAGAGCCAGTCGATGCCATAAGATAATCGGCTGCTGACTGCATCTTCATATCGAACATACATTGAGATCATGGCAAGAAAAACTAATATGTTACCAAAGAGTTAAAAAACAACAACAAAAACCCCTTTAAAATGAAACATTATACTCTATATTCAGTGAGAAGAACAGTCATTTGTGGGAGATTATCCTATGGCTGCACATGGGATCCACCCTCTGCATATAACCTTGAAATGACCTCAGGCATCGCCTGCACATCAATCTGAAACGGAGCTTAAGCACATCCACCTGTTCCGTCATCAGATGAACAATAATAATGAATAAAAAAAGATAAACCAGTGGAAATACTGCCTTTGCTGTGTAACCACGGCAACTCCTCCCCCAAAATGCAACATCACCGACGCCCCCACCGCGTGAAGCGAGCAGGAAAGGATGCGCCGTCTGCCGCTTACCTGGCTTTACTAATAAAGCAAGTGGTTCACGTGGGCAGCCCAGCCCAGCACACTATTCTGCTACATTAGCAAGGTATTTTCGACCGGGCATTTTTTTTTTTTCCTCCTCTCATCCGAGAAGGGGTGGGTGCTGCTGCTGCTGCTTTTGTGACGGAGAGAGGTGAGCGCAGTTGGAAAAGCATTCCCCCCCCCCCCTCCCATCCCTCTCCTCCAAAGCTCCTCCTCTGTCGTCGGAGAGCAGAGAGCGGTCACACATTGCTCAATGAGAGCAAGAGGGCACCGTAGAGGATTTAATTTCAACCTGCTGCTGTGCCGTGCGGCTGTTTTTCTCGCCTCTGACAAAGGTAAGGCATGCCACCGTACTGCAGCCGCTGCACGCGTCATGCGCCACGCAAGGGGAACTCATGTTGGGCTCTCTTGGTGGAAGATGATGCTCCAGCTGAAAGGGCGAGGGCATTATTGAAGGGCAGACAGGGGGGAAGAGTTGTCAGTGGAACTACCATCTCTGACAAGCCGTTCAGCTTAAAGGCGGCAGGCTGTGCATCATTGGAAAGTCAAACAGGACAGGATGTACGTGTGTGTGCTTTCACCTGAGCAGCGGCATCGTAGCGTTCACCGTTTTCACTGAACCGCCGGCCTTCATGTTTCGTAATATGTTCACAGGGGAAAAACGGCAGGTTTTCGATTTTTTTTAAAATGCAAGTTGTCACAATTAAAAATGAAATCGTTAAACCAGCAGAATCATGAAGCTGAAGTTGTTCTCTGTGTGTAGCTGCATCTTGCGCTTCAAATGTGTTGGAATTGTGAATTACTGCATGTAAATCACTGAGTACACTTGATGGTATGCAGCTAATGTAAGTGTACTCAGGCCACATGATTTCAATTGCAAGTAAATGTTCAAACTTCTTGTAAATCCTCGATGCATTTGAGTGCAGTAAGAGAATACCGTGGGGTGGTTTTAACATTCAAGATAATGCATTTTAAGCTGAGTAGGCCTATTTCTATTTCAAATCTGCATAACCTTGTAACTGGGGATTTCCTGTTCGATTTCATTTCTGAATATCTACATGCAGCTTTTTTTGGTAGTCATCAGGAGTATTAGCCCTGATTTATAGCCGACTTCTCCACAGCAACAATGGTCATTGGTTAATGTTGTTCATTACATTTTTTTAAACTCTTATAAAGAAAGACATGAATTAATTGGCCATCACACATTTCCAGTTATTGCATTTACAATTTAATATAAAAAGAGAATATCAGCAACAGTGCTTATTTGAGACTCTGATGATTGACTAATCAACGAATCAAATAATTGTTTAGTTGTCTGTCTCGTTTCACTTTGTAGCATCAAACTGTTTAAACTGACAGAACAGAGTCTTTAGAATATACAGTACCTTGTTTACTGAATAATTACCTTTTTTTTAAATTTGATTGTATTTTAAAGTTAATTTTACACTCTTAAGTCTCTTTCCTGGTTCAATTGTTAATTTTCTTCATTCTGTTGACATTTTCCAGCAGAGGCTAATATGAAGACATCATTTGGCAAACCAGACCCTGGAAAGCACCTACAATCTATTCAACTCATTTGAAACTGGTGACAACACCATGCATTGTCTCCTCATGTGCTCTCCCCTCATCCTACCCAGCCATTGAGAGTGAGGACACCACAAGCTGCACAGACATGGGTTCAGACCAACCCTGCATGGATTCCCTCGAGAGAAGGCCCACGTTGAGTGCCGCCTGTAAGCGGCAGGCCTACCGGTGTCTGCGGAAAAAGCTGAGGCCATTGCGAATCGTAGGGTTTGTCCTCAGCCTGGTGGCCTTAAGTGCAGTGTCCTTCAGTGCCTTGACCTGGAGCTCATGGGGTTTCAGTGAGCCAGTGCTCCCCCAGGAGAGTCTCCACCAGTCGGCCCCCCACAGGACTCTACTTTTCACCCAACTGCAGAGGGACCCCAATGTGTCAGCCGACATGCCAACAGCCATGAGATCTTCAGCACATAGCAACGAAAGCCAGGGGGCGTACCCACCAGACCTTTTCACCCTCGAGGAGCGACGCAAAGGAGCAGTGGTCCTCCACATGTTTGGCATGATCTACATGTTCATTGCCTTAGCCATAGTGTGTGACGAGTTCTTCGTCCCAGCGCTGACGGTCATCACAGAGAAGCTGACCATTTCGGATGACGTAGCGGGTGCCACCTTCATGGCGGCAGGTGGCTCAGCCCCGGAGCTCTTCACCTCCATCATCGGCGTCTTCATCTCGCACAGCAACGTGGGCATCGGCACCATCGTGGGCTCGGCCGTCTTCAACATCCTCTTCGTGATTGGGATGTGTGCCATCTTCTCCAGGGAAATCCTCAACCTAACATGGTGGCCACTCTTCCGCGACGTCTCCTTCTACATCCTGGATCTGATCATGCTCATCATCTTCTTCCTGGATAACGTCATCACCATGTGGGAAAGTATCACACTGCTCTCAGCCTACGCCGCCTACGTGATCTTCATGAAGTGCAACAGCAATGTTGAGGGCTTCGTCAAAAGTTGCATGAACAAGAACCAAGTGGTAGAAGTAGAAGTACAGCCCAAGGTGAGTTGGTTTCTTGATCCATATTACTTTTCTCTCACTTCCCTTCACCGCCATCTCCTTTGAAAATACAATTTTATATGAAATGTCCGACTATGAGGAAGTTGCAGTAGGTGTGAAGTAATGAGTTTTGGTACTTTGGCTGATAGAAATGACCTTCCATGTCTCCTCTTGCATGGGAACACACACTCATCCCTTTGACACATATCATGCAGCTGATTTGTTATTTTTGATGAAGTCAGGCTGACTGTGATGAAAGCGTTTTTTTTGTAGAGACATGCTTTTAATTCCATGCATCTTTTTTTTTTTTGTTCTCATCAGCCAAATGAGCATTTTCAAATGACACCCGTATCTCACAGATGTCCGGCACTCTTAGATCATGCAATATTCCGCAAACTGACAATTGTCCATTCGTGTGGCTTAAATGATGCTCCACAGGGCGGGCATACAGTATTCCACTGTGGGATTAATAAAACACAGTCATATGTGTAATTCTGGGTTAAGCTCTACAAATTGTGTCCCGGTCTGACAAAACAATCCCTTGGAAAATCTCAAGAGCTGTGGGTTTTTTTTTCTTTCCCCCTAGTTAAAGATTTCCCACAATATTACTGTATTTAAATAGTTGAGTAAACATGTGAACCACATGCAGTAAATGGGTTCAGGACTGCTGTGGTAGTCTTGTTCCGTCCGTTTCTCCACATTTGCTCCCGGGAGGTTCTTCTTCATGTACAGTCTCTCGGTGCAATGTTTTACTTTTCGATCTGTAACATAAACAGTGAATACTCCATAGACAAAAAAAACGTAGAAATCATTGTTTTACTTCACATAACATTCGCCACCCTCAATGACACTTGAGGGCAAAAGACACCGCAGTGCAATTTGATACCGGTGTAGAGATTATCCAGACGGATTTAGATTTCTTTGTGACATGAGATGGAAATGAAATTTTGTGAAAGTTGCATTGTAAAGCTTTAATTAAGTCTGGATTTATTCTAAGTACATAAAGGATATTTAAACGGCAGGTTTCACAATGATGGGGGGAGAAACTCTCAAAGAAGCCAACATCGCCATTTGATTTTCAGTGTGTCAAACCAAATGCTAAAATGAATGCCTCTCTTCATTTAAAAAGCAAGCGTGAAAATAGTTATTTTCTTTAGCTCCTATTCTGCCGTAACTAATTTGACTGAGGGCTTCTGTGCAAGAAAAGACTGAGAACTGAGGTGCACAGGCTGAGTGCCAGAGAACACTCTGGTGACCTTGAACTGCAATGGATTCTGGGTACTCTGGCCAACAGGACCGCTTGTGTGCATATTTAAAAAAAACAACTTTTGAAGGAGAAAAAGTGAGAGACAGATGAGTCGATCAAATCCGACCATCATGTCTCATCTCCTACGACACGTGCAGCGGATTTAGCCTCTCCTTTCTCTTGCATTGTGGGTAACAAGCTCATGACTGCACCTTTCAGCACCCTGCTCTGAACATGTAAAACATACAATACATTTAAAAAAATGAATTAGATGATGTACAAAATAACAGTCTTAAGCTTTTATTTACTAAGCCTAGATTGTCAGTAAACCTCTTTTATTTTGTAGTCTGGGTCTACTGGGTTAATAGAACTACAAAGGTGCAAATATTATTAGAATGTAATCTAAACACCTTTTTTTAATAAAGCTTTGACACTTTGGGGACCTGTGTATTTTAAGACACGTTATTTTGGGAATTAATTGGCAATTTAGCAGGCGTGTATGTGTGTAAATTCATACATGAATAATGGAGAGTCAAACAGGAGAGCAAGGACAAGTGTCCTGCAAAATATGATTTGAGGGTCTGGTGTTCTGCTGTTGTCTTTCTGTTTTTGGGTGACATTCACTACTATGGACTGAGCCGCTGTTTTATAAATTAATCATTTAACTGTCGTGGCTGAGCTCCAAGGTGTCCTTAATCCTCCATACAGTGCCATTCAGGTGCAAAGTATTGCATTGTAAGGACAATAGGGTGCTATTCGATGCCATGCCCTTGAACTAGACTCTTGATTTAAAATAAGCTTCCTGAGATTATTTCATGCATTATGATATTGGGACGTCCGCATTGTGTGTTACATTGCTGCCATAGACAGAAACACAGGCAGTCTGCAGCAACAGAGAAGTGGTGTTATCCTGTCACCATAAGGATGAAGAGTGTAGGTTGCTTGGTTGGTAATTGGCAGTTGGCCATCAATAATGCTATAAATACCATCTAAAATTCAATTCTGAGAATAACATGGACAGCAGTGTGATGTTCTGCATTTAGCACTCATCTGTCTGCAACCGCTGCCTTTCATCTCACAACAGAACTGCTCGTACTGCGTTCTCTTTTTTTTATGGACATGAGAAGTTTCTTTTTCGAAACTTGTTTTGTTCTTCTCCCTGTAACATAAAAATAGCTGACTTTGATTCTCTTATTTTCTCGAAAAATAATGCCTTCACTTCCAGGCAGAGCGTCAAATGGCGAGAGGCGGGCTTGCTTTTCCATCATTTGACAGATCAGAGTAGCCATTCTTTATTTAGCCCAGGGATCAGGTGTAACATTATCAATACAACGCAAAAAGAACTGTCACATCTCAGTACGGATACTAGGTCTGTTTATAACCATTGTTTTACATCACTTCAATGGTCGGCCTCATCAAATGTAATCTGCAATAATCTCTCAATCCAGTTAACACAACCATGAATGCTCCATAATGCCATGCACTTAGACTGACCTTGTAATTACAGCAAAATAGGATGGAAAAGGCTTTTTGCTTTCAGTACATTAAGTTTTAGACAGACGGGAGGAACACTTCACATAGTTTGGGGTGTGACGGCATGTGGATTCTTTCACGCTTTTCCCATAAATCTTAGTTGTGCCTGCAGTTTTAAAATCCTCATGCAATTGTACACCCTTACCACTGATGATGACAACTTGACACATAGTTGCAGAACCTCAGCTCTCATTCATTGGAGGTGGTAGATGATCTTGCACCCCTAAGAAAAATTGCCACTTACACCTGCATTCCCTGATTTTTCTTTTTTTGGCCACTTGGGGGCAGCGGAAACAAGCTCTCAACACAACATTGACATATCACTTCAACAACATTCAGAGCATTAATGTAGAAGCAAACAACTATTATCTATTGCAAGATATAGTGGAATAATGTCAACCTAGCAGAGAACGAGGTCACCCTCGCTCTGTGTGTGCTTTTATATCTTCAGTTGGAATGATATTTGAGGCTGTTGTTTGTCAGTTTTAGGTCTGTTTGACTGCATATGTAGCATGCTACTGTTATTCTGACACCTCTGTCATGTCAGTACCCCCTCGGGATTAGTGACAAAGGGTGACTACAGTGTCACACATATTGGCCCTGTGATCTACAAGGGTTCAGAAGTCAACAATGACTCATTTTACTGTATCACTGCTTTTAATTGCTGCATGTTATCTTGTTATCATGGTCTGGTGGTGTTGTCAGTGACTTAACGGGACAGGGGTCAACTTGGACCCGTGCACAAAGGATTGATTACTGATCACTAGTATGTGCAGTACACACTCTAATTATTTACCTGATAAACTGACTTGCTGCTTTTGAAAATACTGGCTTCGAAAGATCAGGTAAGCCACACGTTGTTTAGTTCGGTTTTTATGAAAGGCAGAGGAGTGACGGCCCCCTTTCCACTTGTTACCATCATCGTGACACACCAAAAGTCAGTTTGTCAGGGATGATAATGATGTTATTTTAGCGTGGCCACATCTGACAACGCATCCGAAACAGCTAAACAGCAGGTTGTCGAACAGCGAATAGCATCTTTGAATGTATGTGTGATAGCATAAAAATGAGCAAATGAAATGCAAGCAAATCAAACTGGAGCAAAAAGTCTCGTATACTTGTTTCAATTAAATAGAGCTTGAAATTTGTAATTGCGGTAAGATTCCACATCCAACCACAATATTAGATGCCTGCTACCGTCAGTGTGTATCGAGGCAGATGTTGGTTCTGCTGAGATGGAAGGTGCGACCTCTGATGTATTACCGAGCTATAAATAGCGTCACAGAGGCGAGATCTTCCATCAGGATTCGCTTCAAAGATCCCTTACAAAGCGGGTTCTGTGCAGGGAGCCACGACTGTTTGCGTTTCCTCCCTGTGAATTTAGACATCCGGGCACCAGGGCTGATGCTGTACACCTTCTGTATATTCACACATGAAACCTGGTGTTTTATGCTGCACAGTGTGCTATATATTTTTTCATTTTATCCAGTCCAAACTGAGTGAACTACCTCCTCACACACTATAATACCAGGCTGCACTGCATGAACTCCGTCACGAGCTGCTTATTTTAGTCCTGGGTGACGCGTTCATGGGATTATCTCCCATTATGACGGATGTCTACCTAATTTTCAGCAAAATCCAGATGTGCACTGCTGAACTCCTTCCAAATTATAAACTGCATCCGTTTCAGATTGCCTCTTTGGGCTTGAATGGATATTGCTGTTATGAAAGCAGTTGTCTAGCTAATTTTTTAGAAAATGCTGTTGAACAGCAAAAGTATGTACACTACCACAAACACTACCCTCACTTTTATTCGTACAGATTGAGAGCTACCGTGGTTGAACTTAAAATGAATTTCTTTTTGCAGTATCATTTTCTATGGTATGTGTCCTTGTCCTGTATTTGAACTGTGTACTTCTGTGAAAGCGGTGAAAGTAGTGATGTTTGTATCCTTTTAAAAGGAAAGTTGTAGATGTGACATTGAGTAAAACTGCATGAAAAATAGGTAGATGACGATAATGCTTGTGTGCATTTCATGCAGGCCCAACGTTATTTAGGGGCAGATGGAAAGAACAAAATAGAAGCACTCTACAGTGAATACATATGCATAGTTTAACTTGTCAGAAAGTAGAGGAAAATAGTTTTATTGATCATTTGATGCAAAGTTTAACTGCAAAATAGCTAACCTGAGCTGTCTTAGTTTATGCGGTTATTGGTGTAGTTT